ACAAGCATACTATGCTCAGTTACACAGAGGGAATATTAAATCACCACTCATAGAAACTATTTTGAATTGTTATTTGCCTGCTAAAGTAATGGCAACTAAAATAAATGACACTTCAAAAATATGCATAGACTCGTGCAGGTCATTTAGTGTGAAATAGAGAGATAATAAGTTGTTAAAATCTTAAAATGTTTAGTTTAAACAATGTGGATGCTGCAAAAATAGCGTGATGGTAAAAATGAAAGGTAGGCCTACTTCCAAGTATGAATTATTGTGAACATATTTGATATATTGAGAGATTAATTCCACTAGCATGACCTGCTTTTCCACAGGCCAAGTACAGCTAAACCAATAAGAGGAAAAATCTCTACAATTTACCCCAGCGATAAGCTCCACATCCTGCGGGCCGGTTCTGTTCCAGACGGCTTTTACACCTCGTGATTGACAGACAGTCTGGCCTAAACCTGCTTCAGCTCACGCAAGTGTATCAAAGGTCATCTTTGAATGAGCAAAGCACCTTGTCTTCACAAAAATGCACAAATGAAATTACAATATCTTTTTGTTCAGAAACAATAGAAGTGGCCTGATGTAATTGTGCATTTTGAGACTTTATTAAATGTTTTATTGTATCAGTTGATGGTATCATATGGTAATTATGACAACATGTATCACATTATTTGCACGGTATTTAAAAGAATGCTATGGAATCCATTCAAAAAACATGTGATAAGATAGATCTCATAAACAGGTCAACATTAGTGAACTGAACATGTACGTGTCAGCAGGGGGAGTGTCAAAAACACGTTTCACAATGACTTGACCTGACACTTATAAATTCACCAGTAATGTGGATCATGTCTAATTGTAAGAAATCCCAGTATTTACATCAATTAGACTAATGTGCATTTATATGATGACTGGCTCTGTGTATTTATTCTTGTTAAATATGTTCAGCTGTAGGTCTACTGTTCATGATATGCAGATGCTGATATAGATCTTATATTTCATGATTTTACTCAAAATAAATAAATTAATTTAATTTTAATTCAATTAAATAAACATGTACAATGTCAATAAAATAAATAAGAATGAACATAAACAATTACATACAAATGAATAAATAAAAAACGAAATAAATTATATTTTCTTTTTATATATAGATATAGTTTGGCTGGATACAGTGGCGGTTCTAGCCCATTTCAACTAGGGGGGCCAAGCTGGGGCCAGTTGTACTGTTAGAGGGGCCAGTTACATTTAGACCTTATTGTTGTCATATCATTTTCTGCACTGCTGCAGGCATTAACAGGGAAAATACCGTGTTTATAATCATTCAACAATGTATTTGCATTTCCATTATATTTTTACATTTGCATTACATATTCAGTATTAGTCACAGTAACTGTAATAGACATGATGTCCTTCTTTCTCTTCATTTTGAGAACTATAGAGCAAAAGCAATGGGGACCAAGAAGCTTATTAATTCATTTACTGAAAATAACTGACTTGATATGTCTAACCGTTTACAGGGTTCCTGCACACTTTTTAGAGTCCAATTTAAGGCTTTTTAAGACCTAAAGAAATCAAAATTAATACCGTACATTAGAGGTGTGCAATATTGACAAAAATATATTTCAACATTTTCAACATTTTGTTAATAATTAGATAATATTTTACTGATTGTGTTTTTGTGCTGGTGCCATGGCTGGTTTAGGCCTGTTGTTGACAGCTGACTCACGAAGATATTCCTATTTTTCATATTCTATGCAGTGGTCGATTCACAGCAGTGACAGAAATACATTTTTTAATTAAGGGGCAATATTTGCCACCTTAAATTGATTTCCAGGGGCATTTTCACCTATATATGGACATTTTTTCTAAACTTATTTAGAGTTATGCATCACCTTTTATGTCAAATACTAACATTCAAATTATACAGTAATTATACTTATTTATACAATAATACTTAATTATACAATAATTATACAGTACCACTGTTACCAGTCAAATTAATTAATTCAATCAAAATCCATCTTTGCAGTGCAGAGGTGACACAGAAGTGGCATTAATATATTTACACTCCATTTACAATTGCATAAATAAAGCTATGAGATTTTTTTCAAGTCAATATTTAAATATGAAATTATTTCTAAGTTTAACGTTTTAATTAAAGGATACTTTAAATATGAAACTAAAACCGCCAGTAGGCGGCGGCAAGTCCCTGTAAGAGGGATTCATTCATTCAAACGATTTGTTCAAACGGCCGATTTATTCGGGAAAGAAGCAAGTGATTCGTTCAAAACGCGGATTTCAGTCAAGAAATCATCGCTGTGTTGCATTGAGACTCACTACGGTTTCATTATGAAATTCTAGTCGGCGAAATAAAGGGAAAACAAACAATATTGACAATATTGTGTCTAAAAAGTAACTCCCAATGTTAACTTATTGTTAATTTAACTGTTGTATAACATAAATATCACAGTTGCAATTGTGCACGGGAAAACGGCACTCTTGCTGATGTGATATTCTAATATAAGAACATAATATGATATAAATATAAGACAAAAACTAATTTGGGGACATAGCCTACCTATGAACTGCACACAGCAGTGAAAGGACGATAGACAAATGCTATGTCAGCTCACAGTGCCTCGTACATACCGTGAAACTTCAAATAATAGCCGAGTCCCGAATAGACGCCTGTCTCTTTTACACGCCTGGTGTGGCGACAGGTTTGGGTACATAAAGGCAGTGGTGGACAGTAACGAAGTAAATGTAATTCGTTACTGTACTTAAGTAGCTTTTTTGTGTATCTGTACTTTACTCAAGTATTTAAATTTTGGGAGACTTTTACTTTAACTCCACTACATTTCAAAGTCAAATATCTTACTTTTTACTCTACTACATTTTCAAAATCAGACGTTCCTTTTTATTTATGAGTGGATAAAAACGTAACTGGCCAAACGAGCCACCAATCACAGTACAGCACGCCGCTTTGTTTTGAACTTGCCTTGGCGGTATCTACTGAGCGCGAACCAGAGCCGTTAAATATGAGAGTTGCGAACATAGATGGTTGTGACAGTGATCTCGCCGCCGCGCGGTCACGTTATTCATGTAGCTCTCTCAATAGTCCCAAACAAATCGCGTTGACAATGATTTTAAGCGGGACAGAGAGCAGCAGCTGTTATTGCAGCAATTATTGGTAAGTATTGACGCATAATGTACATTGCTTACGTTGCCACTAAAATGACTTGCATATAATAGCTTTTTTTTTTCCTGGGGAGTAGCCTAGCAGAAACACTGCATTAATACGTTTTTGTGTTTAATTTTGGAGGGAAATTGGCTGCTTCCATAACATAGAATATAGAATATATATATATGTGTGTGTGTGTGTGTGTGTGTGTGTGTGTGTGTGTGTGTGTGTGTGTGTGTGTGTGTATGTGTGTGTATATATATATATATATTTAATGGCGTTGTGCAGGTTTATGTGAATGTATCATAACATTAAGATGTTAATAATTATGACCATAGGCGCTGGAGAAAAATATAGGCCTACAGTAAATACTGTAAATGTTTTATACCTTATAGGAACAGTCCCCTTCCCTCCAAAATTAAACATACAAAAAATCAATTCAATTCAAATATATATATATATATATATATATATATAGTTATATAGTTATTAATTATCAGACTAATTAATGTCATTTTATTAATAGATTGGTGTGCCAAGAGTGACATTAGTCTTCACTTATACTGAGTTAAGCAAGAGTCTTGTGATAAATTATAATAGGACATTATAGCCATAAAAAAAATCAAAGTACTTGGATACTTAAGTACATTTGAAGGCAAATACTTTTGTACTTTTACTCAAGTGAATGTTTAAAGGCAGCACTTCTACTTTTACTTGAGTAATATTTTACCTTGAGTATCTTTACTTTTACTCAAGTACATGGTATGTGTACTTCGTCCACCACTGCATAAAGGCCGGTCTCAAATAGAAGCCGGGTCTGTTTTTAGTTTCGGGTTGTATTTTATCTTCTAAAACCCGTCAGAGCGTCCGCTTGCTGCGCTTGACAGTGCATAACGAGCAGAGAGAGAGAGAGAGCGCCCCGGCCGCGCGCGCGCACTCACCTCTTCAAACATTCTGCCGCGATTCCCGCGAATGTGATGCGAATTGTCACGTGAAAATGCAAATCCACAAAGATAGAAAAATAAAAAAATAATACACATACAACGATAGCAAAAAACAGTTTTGTAAAAATTATTTCAAACTCCACATTTAGGGGGGCCACAAGGGGGGCCAAGCTTTTTGTCACAGGGGCACTGGCCCCCCTGGCCCCCCCTCTAGAACCGCCACTGGCTGGATAGCTATAAATAAATAAAAATCACAGAATATATCCATAATCATAAAATTGTATTTTTTTTTTAGCAATTTCAAGTAAAGTGTCTCATCATTATATGTTAATATGGAGGACCTTTTTATTTCTCAGTATTAATACATCTTGAGAGGTTTATATGGATATATGTCCATGCTAATTTATTCATTATAAGGCAAAAAGGTGGTTAAAATGAAAAGGTGAAAATTTCAAATGAAAAAAAAAAATGGTGATCAATCACAGCATATAATAATACATAAAAGTTGCCTTAAGTAAAGTTTAGCCGACAGTCTTGAAGTTGATGTCCATTTGTCACATCTATCTTCTCTTTATTATTTCTTCCATAATGAGACATTTTCATTAAAGATCAGAAAATTCCCACTTCAACTTTCAAGTTGAATTCCCAGTCAACTTGAATGTTTAAGTCATTTCAACTTAAATTACATTAAACTATCTTGTATAGCTTGTAAAAAAAAATAGTTTAACTTCTTTTGATGAGTTAAAGCAATGTAAAAAACATATGTTGTCATAACTTATTGACCATATCATTTTTTTTATAGCGCCTCACACCCAAAGATCTCCACGTGCTTCCCGTCTGTCACAGAATGTCGTGTGTGTGTGTGTGTGTGTGTGTGTGTGAGTGTGTGACAGATGGGGTCAGTGCGAAAATCCTCTTAGCAACTTTCTGCTGATGGAGGTTCATTGAGTGAAGCTCCAAACTTTCGCAGTGTAGCGAGGCCTTTGTTGGAGACAGATTCAGGATACGGACATGTCTACGGAAAAGGTAAGCTTGTTTTAATAGACTGATTGCACGATGTAGTTATTAGCCTATAGGCCTATTATTTTTTGAATCCCCGTTGATCTAAATGTTGATTTATTAAAGGACATTTGGAGATTATCTGAATTATTTTGTTTTAAACTACATACACCTGTTATCAGAATTGATCTGACCACACTGTATATTTTTTAACATTAATAATTTAAAATATTACTGTCATTATCTGGTTGATATGTCTAAATCAATGAGTTCTGGTGAGGTCAGTTCTAGTTTTTCAGGAAAGATCAGTGATATTACACACATGTGCCCATGAAACAAACACTTCCATTCATGAATTTCACAAATATTTAACATAATTACATTTGCATTAATATTCTTTCTTAGTATTTCTTACTAAAATAGCTAGTAAGAAATGTTAGACTTTGCAGATTTATATATAGGCTATGTATACGGTGATATAGTCCTTATAAGCTACGTTTGAAAACTTTAGCTCCAGGGTTCAGAGCTTAAAAGATATTTTTTTGAAATTATAGAATTATAAATGGAAATATGTGAATGTCTCATTCAGTGCATGTATAGGCTATGACCTACAAACCCAACTTGAGTACATTTAGACAGCACAGATATTAGAATTTAGTTTTTTACCACAGAGGTTGTATTTAAAGTAACTAGCCTAATTTGTGACTGATTTCAAAAATGTCTTTGGTGAAATGTATAGGATTTGCTGTTAATTTAATGGAAACATGATTGAATTAGGGTTCGTGTTTTCCTCCACACCTCATGACAGGGATTGACTGAGGTGACGGTATTAATAGCCTTATTCTGGCTGAGTCTTAAGTGGATCTCACACACACACACACACACACACACACACACACACACACACACACACACACACACACACACACACGCACACTGACTGTCAGTACAGGCCACATTGAATATCTCATGCTTTTGGTCATTTACGAGGGTGAAAAGATGTGTGGATATTTTTAAATTACACGTATGAAGACAGTCTACAACAAAAAAATTATGCATAGATATATGATGTGTTTCCATAATTGATACCTTCGTTCAACAAGTTGCATAATGTTGTTATGCATCAGATCACTGCTATCAATAGATCTAGATAATGCATTTAAAACACATTACAAATATCAACGTGCATCATAAGTGATTATTATCTACATAAATAATGCATAAATAAAACTTCAAATGCATGTTGAAGTGTTTTTGGATGCTGTTTGAAATTAATTTGTGTGCAGTTTTGTGCTTCAGATTTTTCTCCCACGTCTTTTTTTTTTATGTTCCTTTACATTTGATTAGGATGGATGAAAATAATTGACTAAAACATCTTTTATCAGTACTGTATAACTTCATCCGCATCAGACTCATCCGTCAGCACATTTCAAGCAAAAATATGACAATTTAGCAATTAGGTCCTTCCATGTCAAATCAACCAAATTTTGGAAACTTTCTGCTTGATTTTGCTCATAGACAAACATTAGTAGTAATGAAAGCCAAAATATTAAATTAATATTTACTGGGTAAACCACTATTTTGTGTAGCGGGTCAAAATGACCATTTTCACCTGAGATTTGGGGCCAAATTACAGGTGGGCGAAAATGACTTTAGAAAGATGGCAGCATTATTATTTTATTTTTACACAGAGATTGGTAGGTCTATTATTAAATTCTTTTGTCTTCAGCAATCCTTGTTGCATTATATGCCAATGGTGACAGTTCAAAAATGGGAAAAAGCACTTTTCCTGCTTTCCCCCAAAGCTCGCATGCCTGTAACTCAATAAGTATTATATCTTATTTTTTTTTCCTCTGAGAATAAACCATATAGAGTCTTAAAAATGAAGATACCAAAAAAAAAAGTTTGTTAAGAACCAGAATCTAAAAGGATATTGAGATATCTTTACTACTTCTTGAGTCACAGTCAAACAAACATTGGAAAAATAATATTTTTGACACTCATACAGGTATGTTCTATACAATTATTTTGATAGAGGGAAACAAGATAAATGTCTAGTTTCAACGTTATTTGTTCTTCAGAGATTGTTCTTTAAAAGAAAAAGAAAAATATGCTGTATGCAGAATTTTTGGCTTTTGACCACTGAAAATGTGTTTAGCAATTTACTCTTAGAGCCACATTGAGATCCCCATATCTCTGCGACTGAACAGTATAGAGCCTTAAAAATGAACATACCCAAAGAAAAGTTTGTTAAGAACCAGAATCCAAAAACATATTGAGATATCTTTGCTATTTTTTTAGTTACAGACAGACAGAGTTACAGACATATACATTTATGAACTGTCACCGTTGGCATATAATGCAACAAGGATTGCTAAACACAAGATCTACCAATCTCTACGTAAAAATAAAATAATGATGCTGCCATCTTTCTAAAGTCATTTTCGCCCACCTGTAATTTGGCTTTAAATTGTCATTTGACCAATAGTGGATAACTCAGTAAATATTCATCCATGGCATTTAATATTTAGGCTTTAATTACTATTTAAGTTAGTCTTTCTTCAAAATGAATGATTTGAGCCTGGGACCTTTGGTTGAGGAATGACCCATATGACTCTGACAACACTAAATAACCTATAACCATAAGTTACAAAAATCCAAGTGTGCAGATGAAGAACAAGATGCTTCTGAATAACTTAAATAGATTGAGAGTGATATTCAGAATGTTGTTCTCTTCTTATTTGTTGCTTTCACATGCGTCATTACTGGTGAGTTCTCAAATTTTCTAACAAAAAAAGCTTTGTCTGTGCTCTCACTATTCCTTCATGCCTCCCTGTTTTAGCTTGTACTATTCTGAACGATATCTGACACTTTGCATTACTAGCTTTTCTCATGTTTATTGACTCTTCAAGATGAATTTCTTGATGTATTCCTCATTTGTAAGTCGCTTTGGTTAGAAGTGTCTGCTAAATGAATAAATGTAAATGCTTAATTTCTTTCTCTCCAACATGCCATTTACAATAATGTCATTTTATGACTGTGCACATCAGAATATTACAGAAGCCCAAGAAGAAGAAGCCCGAGTCCACTCCAGTAGAGACCAACGGAAGCGAAGCCAAACCCAAAAAGCCCAAGAGCAAGAAGAGCGCAGATCTGTCGGCCGAGAGCAGCCCAGCCACTCAGAGTACGCCAGAGAGTCCATGTCCTGAAATGTCACATCAATACAAAGTTCTGTCATGAAACTCTAGATGGCGCAAGCTGATTGGTCTTAAAGGGTTAGTTCACCCAAAAATGAAAATTATGTCATTAATGACTCTCCCTCATGTCGTCCCAAGCCCGTAAGACCTCCGTTCATCTTCAGAACACAGTTTAAGATATTTTGGATTTAGTCCGAGAGCTTTCTGTCCCTCCATTGTAAATGTATGTACGGTATACTGTCCTTGTCCAGAAAGGAAATAAAGACATCATCAAAGTAGTCCATGTGACATCAGTGAGTTAGTTAGAATGTGTTGAAGCATCGAAAATACATTTTGGTCCAAAAATAACAAAAACTACGGCTTTATTCAGCATTGTATTGTCTTCCGGTTCTGTTGTGGATCCGCGTTCAGTGCCGCTGCTGACGTGTGTCTGGTGTGTGTGTGTGTGTGTGTGTGTATTCTGGTTCTGTTGTGGATCCGCGTTCAGTGCCGCTGCTGACGTAAGACGCTGCTGACGTGTGTCTGGTGTGTGTGTGTGTGTGTGTGTGTGTGTGTATTCTGGTTCTGTTGTGGATCCGCGTTCAGTGCCGCTGCTGACGTAAGACGCTGCTGACGTGTGTCTGGTGTGTGTGTGTGTGTGTGTGTGTGTGTATTCCGGTTCTGTTGTGGATCCGCGTTCAGTGCCGCCGCTGACGTAAGACGCTGCTGACGTGTGTCTGGTGTGTGTGTGTGTGTGTGTGTGAGTGTGTGTGTGTGTGTGTGTATTCCGGTTCTGTTGTGGATCCGCGTTCAGTGACGCTGCTGACGTGTGTCTGGTGCGCCCGAGCTTCGTTTACAGTCTGAGGGAGACGCACGCTGGAAACAAAACAATCTTCGCAAACATGTCTAAGGATTTCCACACAGAGGAAGACTTGCATTTTTTTGCCCAGCCATATTTATTTGAACCCGAATACACGGACGCACCAGACACACGTCAACAGCGTCTTACGTCAGCAGCGGCACTGAACGCGGATCCACAACAGAACCAGAATACACACACACACACACACACCAGACACACGTCAGCAGCGTCTTACGTCAGCAGCGGCACTGAACGCGGATCCACAACAGAACCAGAATACACACACACACACACACACCAGACACACGTCAGCAGCGTCTTACGTCAGCGGCGGCACTGAACGCGGATCCACAACAGAACCAGAATACACACACACACACACACACCAGACACACGACAGCAGCGTCTTACGTCAGCAGCGGCACTGAACGCGGATCCACAACAGAACCAGAATACACACACACACACACACACCAGACACACGTCAGCAGCGTCTTACGTCAGCAGCGGCACTGAACGCGGATCCACAACAGAACCAGAATACACACACACACACACACACCAGACACACGTCAGCAGCGGCACTGAACGCGGATCCACAACAGAACCAGAATACACACACACACACACACACCAGACACACGTCAGCAGCGTCTTACGTCAGCGGCGGCACTGAACGCGGATCCACAACAGAACCAGAATACACACACACACACACACACCAGACACACGACAGCAGCGTCTTACGTCAGCAGCGGCACTGAACGCGGATCCACAACAGAACCAGAATACACACACACACACACACACCAGACACACGTCAGCAGCGTCTTACGTCAGCGGCGGCACTGAACGCGGATCCACAACAGAACCAGAATACACACACACACACACACACACACACACACCAGACACACGTCAGCAGCGTCTTACGTCAGCAGCGGCACTGAACGCGGATCCACAACAGAACCAGAATACACACACACACACACACACACACCAGACACACGTCAGCAGCGGCACTGAACGCGGATCCACAACAGAACCGGAAGACAATACAATGCTGAATAAAGCCGTAGTTTTTGTTATTTTTGGACCAAAATGTATTTTCGATGCTTCAACACATTCTAACTAACTCACTGATGTCACATGGACTACTTTGATGATGTCTTTATTTCCTTTCTGGACAAGGACAGTATAGCGTACACACATTTCCAATGGAGGGACAGAAAGCTCTCGGACTAAATCTAAAATATCTTAAACTTTGTTCCCGAAGATGAACGGAGGTCTTACGGGCTTGTGACGACATGAGGGTGAGTCATTAATGACATAATTTTCATTTTTGGGTGAACTAACCCTTTAACTCAAACTGCTTGCAATCACATCATTCTTTATAGGCCTTATGTAGCCCCGCCCCTTTTCAGCGCTGCGCTCGTTGTCTTTTGTCTTCCGGTCTGTATTTTCACAGCGATCTTGCCTATTTATGAATGAACGACTCGTTTTAAAATCTTCCCGGTCTACTGACATTTGTTAAGACATTTGCTTTAAACATTACAATCCTCATGATAACTTTTGTTAACTTTACATTAAGTAAATCCACTTCAAAAGCTAATTACTCCTGGACAGCAATGCCATAGAGATATACAGAGCGACCGCAAAAACGGAAGTTCAAAGACAATATTCTAAAGATGACGGCGCCCTTGTTTCTCTGGTGCATAAGGTCTATAGGGCATAGTTGATTGGTTCCTGCTGTTTCAGTAGCCAATGAACTTACTGCTCAACCTTAAATACTTGTTCAGCATTTGCTGTAGCAGTTGCAGTGCGCTTTCAGAAACCCTCCATGCCAGCTCCACCTGTATAGATCTGCTATGGGTAATTCATGTATGCAGCAGCATGTCTTACTTGCTCACAGCAGCGTGTCGTGTGTGTATTGGCAATGGCAAGTCTCGTACTTGATCTACAGCAATCAAAGAAACAACAGCGTAGCAGATCTATTACGCCAAGACCAAACACATAAACATGGTCATATCCATTAACATACCAAACACTCCAAGAGTTGTCATGACAGAACTGTGCTTCTGTCAGTCTGTTTACACAATTCTCACAAACCTCCCTCACAGATGGAGAGAAGGTGAAGAAGAAGAAACTAGAGAAGGAAAAAGAATCAACAGAGAAGGAGAAAGAATTCAAAAAGAAAGCAAAAAGTGCCCCAAAGAAGAAGAAGAGTAAGTGACCCATGTGTATTGATACTATTATAGTTATTAATGTTTAATAGGCTTTTATTTTTGTATTTTCAGTTTTTATTTGAATTCTCTTTTATTTAAATTGTGCCTTGTCGTATTTTTTGTGTACATTTCTATTTAGCGTTATTTTTATTTCATTTTTAGTCATTTTAGTACTTCAACTTGCCAAGGCAACATCTCTAATTTTAAGACATCATCTTTAATGTCAAGTTAAAATTAGTTTAGATGTAAACACTGATGTCTACGTTAGTGATCAAACTAGAGTACATCACCATTTGAAAGAAACTTGACTCTTCAAATTTTCTTCAGATTGTATCATTAGATCGTTACACCAGTAGGTGGCGACAAGTGACTGTTAAAAAATGTATTTGTCATTGAATCATTCATTCAAGAGATTAATAATAAATAAAAAAAAGCTGATTCATCCAGTAATGGAACACGTGAAGTCTTAATGAGTGAGTCATTGCATCAGTCATTCAAAGATTGTAAAAAAAAAAAAAAAGACTTTTTTTTAGTTGTCTATTCAGAATCGAGGGAGAATCATGACCTTTCGATTCTCAATTTATCCAGAATCTTGGAGCTCTAGTTTCAGTTTTCATCTAATATTTTTATTTATTTAAGCTTTATTTCAGTTAATGTTTTCAGATATTAGTTTTTATTAACAATAACAACACTTATGTGACCTTTCACAAATTCGGTTTTATTGAGGTATCAAATTTTTTTTCTTAAACTATAAGACAATTACTGAGATACAGGTGAAACTCGAAAAATGAGAATATGGTGCAAAAGTTAATTTATTTCAGTAAATCAACTTAAAAGGTGAAACTAATATATGAAATAGACTCATTACATGCAAAGTGAGATATTTCAAGCCTTTATTTGGTACAATTTTGATGATTATGTCTTTTACAGCTTATGAAAACTTTTCACAATATTCTAATTTTGAATTTGGGGTTTTCATAAGCTGTAAGCCATAATCATCAAAATGATAACAAATAAAGGCTTGACATATCTCACTTTGCATGTAATGAGTCTATATAATATATTAGTTTCACCTTTTAAGTTGATTTACTGAAATAAATTAACTTTTGCACCATATTCTCATTTTTCGAGTTTCACCTGTATAATTAAAAATGTATAGTTATGAATGTGTATATAATCTCAGATAGGAAGAATTTGATCAGAAGTATTTGATACTTTTGATTTCAGACTTTAATATCTCGAGCTCATATTGAAACATCAGTTGAAACTGAGATAATTGGAGTTTAACCCATTTTTCTCATGACTGTCTTGGAGAAACAACTGTAATACTAAACAATGTCTTCTCTCTCCTTCAGGATGATGGTGTGACATTTGATAAGTGTACCAATTTTTTTTTTCACTGAGCACTTAAATGTGTTTATTGCAAAACAGGTTTAACAGAAGATGATGACGATGATGAAGAGGACGATGGAGAAACCACTCCTCAGAAGAAGACAAAGAAAAAGACTTCAAAAGAAAGTTCTGATGGAAAATTAAAAGACAAGGAAAAAGACAAGAAGTCCAAATCAAAAGGTGTCCTCTTCTCAAATGAGTGACATAAAGCTCTTTAAACTTTCTATTATGAGCTCTAATGTTACTTTCAACAATACTTGCTAACTAGATTTATTTTTGGATCTGTTTATTGATTCCTTGCTTTATGTGAACATGAAGACATCAAAGAGGACGCAGACAGTAAAGGAAAATCTAAAGCCAAGAAAAAGGAGCCGGCGTCCATGTTTCAGATAAATGGAGACAAGCCTGAAACCAAGAGTAAAAAGAAAGGTAATGTTCTGAGAGCTTTTCTACATGCATGTCCGCTTGATGATTCACAATAATGTATATGTTTGCTTATCTTTTGGATGATAAAGCTGCCAAATCTGAGAGTGAAGATGAGAGCGAACCAGAAACCAAAAGCAGCAAGACGAAGAAGAAGAGCAGCTCAAACCCATCGTCCATGTTTCAGACAGGAGGGGACAAAGACAAGGACAAAAAGACAAAAAAGACCAAAAGTAAGTTCTTTTCTTAAACCATTATGGTATGCACAATTTGACATAAAAAGACAAAAGCTTAGATTCTAAAAAAATATTTCAGCACATGGCTGTTCCCATGTCTGATGTGATTGTTCTCATCCTCAGATCCTGCTAAAGCAGACGAGACTGAAGACTCTGATTCAGAAGTGACACAGAAAAAGAAAAAGGGCAAAGGGAAAAAAGGCAAAAAGGTAAATTCATTGTATTCCACATTATTCTCATTCTATTATCAATTTAATGTGGGATGTTTTGTATGGTTACCTCTTTTACTCCATTGAAGGAGGAGCGAGCACCTTCTCCTGTCATCGAGTTTGACAATCTGGAGGAGTTTGTACTTCAACCCGCTCAACAAGGCGTCACGGTAAAGTGCAAAGTGACCCGGGACAAGAGAGGGATGGACCGAGGCCTTTACCCAACTTACTACCTGCACCTGGACAATGAGAAGAAAGTATGACATCTACTGTTATGTTTGTATTTCTCCGGAGTCTCTCATGCTGTTGGAACATTATGAGGTGTTGAGGACTTTGCAGTTTGCAAGCTCAGCCATGATGGATGAGTGGTAAACATAGACACTCTTAGAAGAAAAGGTTCTGTCAGGCGCTTCATATATAGAACCTTAGGGTTCTTGCTTCATATATAGAACCTTAGGGTTCTGTCAGGCGCTTCATAGAACCTTAGGGTTCCCGCTTCATATATAGAAACTTAGGGATCCGTCAGGCGCTTCATATTTAGAACCTTAGGGTTCCCGCTTCATATATAGAACCTTAGGGTTCCATCAGGCGCTTCATATTTAGAACCTTAGGGTTCCCGCTTCATATATAGAACCTTAGGGTTCCGTCAGGCGCTTCATATGTAGAACCTTAGGGTTCCATCAGGCGCTTCATATTTAGAACCTTAGGGTTCCCGCTTCATATATAGAACCTTAGGGTTCCGTCAGGCGCTTCATATGTAGAACCTTAGGGTTCCATCAGGCGCTTCATATATAGAACCTTAGGGTTCCCGCTTCATATATAGAACCTTAGGGTTCCCGCTTCATATATAGAACCTTAGGGTTCCCGCTTCATATATAGAACCTTAGGGTTCTGTCAGGCGCTTCATAGAACCTTAGGGTTCCCGCTTCATATATAGAAACTTAGGGATCCGTCAGGCGCTTCATATATAGAACCTTCCGTCAGGCGCTTCATATATAGAACCTTAGGGTTCTGTCAGGCGCTTCATAGAACCTTAGGGTTCCCGCTTCATATATAGAAACTTAGGGATCCGTCAGGCGCTTCATATTTAGAACCTTAGGGTTCCCGCTTCATATATAGAACCTTAGGGTTCCATCAGGCGCTTCATATTTAGAACCTTAGGGTTCCCGCTTCATATATAGAACCTTAGGGTTCCGTCAGGCGCTTCATATGTAGAACCTTAGGGTTCCATCAGGCGCTTCATATTTAGAACCTTAGGGTTCCCGCTTCATATATAGAACCTTAGGGTTCCGTCAGGCGCTTCATATGTAGAACCTTAGGGTTCCATCAGGCGCTTCATATATAGAACCTTAGGGTTCCCGCTTCATATATAGAAACTTAGGGTTCCCGCTTCATATATAGAACCTTAGGGTTCTGTCAGGCGCTTCATAGAACCTTAGGGTTCCCGCTTCATATATAGAAACTTAGGGATCCGTCAGGCGCTTCATATATAGAACCTTCCGTCAGGCGCTTCATATATAGAACCTTAGGGTTCTGTCAGGCGCTTCATAGAACCTTAGGGTTCCCGCTTCATATATAGAAACTTAGGGATCCGTCAGGCGCTTTATATTTAGAACCTTAGGGTTCCCGCTTCATATATAGAACCTTAGGGTTCCGTCAGGCGCTTCATAGAACCTTAGGGTTCCCGCTTCATATATAGAAACTTAGGGATCCGTCAGGCGCTTCATATTTAGAACCTTAGGGTTCCCGCTTTATATATAGAACCTTAGGGTTCCCGCTTCATATATAGAACCTTAGGGTTCCGTCAGGCGCTTCATAGAACCTTAGGGTTCCCGCTTCATATATAGAAACTTAGGGATCCGTCAGGCGCTTCATATATAGAACCTTAGGGTTCCGTCAGGCGCTTCATAGAACCTTAGGGTTCCCGCTTCATATATAGAAACTTAGGGATCCGTCAGGCGCTTCATATTTAGAACCTTAGGGTTCCCGCTTCATATATAGAACCTTAGGGTTCCCGCTTCATATATAGAACCTTAGGGTTCCATCAGGCGCTTCATATTTAGAACCTTAGGGTTCCCGCTTCATATATAGAACCTTAGGGTTCCCGCTTCATATATAGAACCTTAGGGTTCCGTCAGGCGCTTCATATATAGAACCTTAGGGTTCCCGCTTCATATGTAGAACCTTAGGGTTCCCGCTTCATATGTAGAACCTTAGGGTTCCGTCATGCGCTTCATATTTAGAACCTTAGGGTTCCCGCTTCATATATATAACCTTAGGGTTCCCGCTTCATATATAGAACCTTAGGGTTCCCGCTTCATATATAGAACCTTAGGGTTCCGTCAGGCGCTTCATATATAGAACCTAAGGGTTCCCGCTTCATATATAGAACCTTAGGTTTCCGTCAGCCGCTTCATATATAGAACCTTAGGGTTCCCGCTTCATATATAGAACCTTAGGGTTCCGTCAGGCGCTTCATATATAGAATCTTAGGGTTCCGTCAGGCGCTTCATATATAGAATCTTAGGGTTCCGTCAGGCGCTTCATATATAGAATCTTAGGGTTCCGTCAGGCGCTTCATATATAGAACCTTAGGGTTCCGTCAGGCGTTTCATATATAGAACCTTAGGGTTCCCGTTTCATATATAGAACCTTAGGGTTCCCGCTTCATATATAGAACCTTAGGGTTCCCGCTTCATAAATAGAACCTTAGGGTTCCATCAGGCGCTTCATATATAGAACCTTAGGGTTCCCGCTTCATATATAGAATCTTAGGGTTCCGTCAGGCGCTTCATATATATAACCTTAGGGTTCCGTCAGGCGCTTCATATATAGAACCTTTGGGTTCCGTCAGGCTCTTCATATATAGAACCTTAGGGGTTCCCATTATGTGATTATTTTATGGATTTAGTTTTAATTAATTTTGTTTCAATTCATTTTTAGCTTTAAATAAATGTTATGAATTAAGCAACATGAAAGTATTACACAATTTTTTAAGACCTCTCCTTATATAGAACCTTTTTGGCAATAAGAAGTCAAGAGTCAAGAACCTGAGAGTTCTAAATAGAACCCCATTGGGCCTTTTTTTCCCTATGAGTGTACCTTTCAAAAGTTTGTTGTGGTCAGTAAGATTTCCTTGAAAGATGTCTCCTCTGCTCACCAAGGCTGCATTTATTTGATCGAAAATATTGTAAAAGCACTAATATTGTAAAACATTTTTACAATTGAAAATAACTGTTTCTATGTGAATATATATTCTAAAATATAATGTATTCCTGTGATCAAAGCTGAATTTTCAGCATCGTTACTCCAGTCTTCAGTGTCACATGATCCTTCAGAAATCATGCTAAATCTATAAATGTCTTTAATGTCCCTTTTGATTAATTTAATGTGTCCTTGCTAAATAAAATAATTAATTTCTTTCCAAAAAACGAAGAAAATCTTACCCCAATACATGGTCCAATATTTTTCACTAATTTTAGCTTTGCAAATGGGAGTAATATGAATTCCTTTTTATTTATTTTACATCTAGGTGTTTTTGTTAGCGGGAAGGAAGAGGAAAAAAAGCACAACCTCAAATTACTTGATCTCCATAGACCCCACCGACCTCTCCAGAGGAGGAGAAAACTTCATTGGGAAGCTGAGGTACGTGGGTTTGGACCATTACCAATATAGCCGCTCTTTATATGATACTTTTGTAGGTCTATGACACAGTCTCGTTGATTTAAAGGTTATTTGCACTTGTATTTCAGGTCAAATCTGATGGGAACTAAGTTCACGGTGTTCGATAATGCACTGCATCCGGACCGAGCTCTGCCGGACATGTCTAACGCTCGGCAGGAATTGGCAGCCATTATCTATGTAAGGCAACATTACAATACTGCTGTAGTTTTGGTTGAAGCACTAATCAATGAAACAATATCAGTTATATTTCATAATATTAATTTGATATTATATTGTGACTTTAGGAAACAAATGTTTTGGGCATGAAAGGACCGAGACGAATGATTATAGTTATTCCTGGCATGACCAAAGATGGTGAACGAGTCCCCATACGACCACGTAGTGTAAGTAAATCACAAATGTATACATACACAACCATTTTTTTTTTTTAAATGACAACTAAAAATAATGCTTCCCAACAGGACAATAATGGCCTCCTCATGAGACATCAAAACAGAAATATGGAAAACTTGATAGAGCTGCGCAATAAGACGCCAGTGTGGAATGAAGATACGGCGTCACATGTGTTAAACTTCAACGGCAGAGTCACACAGGCCTCCATCAAAAACTTCCAGATTGTGCATAACAAAGACCGTAAGTCTCTCGGCTAGAGCTGTGTTGCATACGGCTTCACAAATAGATCATGTTTGAATAAAGCATTCTCAAATATTACTAATTTTGCTGTTTGCAAATCATCACAGCTACTACAGTTGCCAAATGTGAATTATATAACCTGAAGTGTTATTTTAGGATTCCTTATATACTATTATAGTATTTATTAATATTTGAAGTTGAATTAGCATTTATTTGTATATTTTAATTTTAGTTTAAGTTTATTAGTTTGCTTTTTAAATTTATATTTAGTGATCATTTATTATTTTTAATTAATTAAATAATTTAAATAATTTATTATTTAGGTTGTAGTACTTCAACTATTTAAAGCCAAATTAGTGCCAAATTAGTTAATGCAATATACTGCATCCCACAATGCAATGCATTTGACTTCACCATCCATTTCCAATGTGACAAATGTACCAGAAATAATATCAACAGCAATTTTTTAATCTCTTTCTTGACTTACTGTTTGATTGAACTGGGAAAAGTTAAGACATTTAAATGTGGACACTTAAAAATGGATTAAACATGCTAAATAATCTTATGTAGTGTATGTTGAGATGCAAAACAATGAATTAAACATACAAAATTCTAAAGTGTTGCATACTATTATTTGAAAAGTTTATTGTTCCATATTGCATGCTTTTTCACTGTTTTATATAATAGTACATACAAAGTGTGCAGTAAACACTGTGCAGAAGGATGTGTTCAAATACATTTATAAATAATGGAAGTATTCATATGTTGGCTGTAAGTAAATATAAATTGACATGACCATTGGTGTGCTGTATTTCAGTGGACTACATTGTGATGCAGTTCGGGAGAGTTGCAGACGATGCTTTCACTTTGGACTACAGGTATCCTCTGTGTGCCGTACAAGCCTTTGCCATCGCCCTCTCCAGCTTTGATGGCAAAATCGCCTGCGAGTAACAGTGTCAAGTTTCCTGCTGGTGTCTTTCTGTGATGTTGTCACATGCAGCAAATGGGAAACGCTCTCACTCAGCATCAGCTCAATTCTCTACAAGAAGACTGAAACCTGTAAATCTGTCAAAATAAAGCACCATTGCTTGTGGGGTCGCATGATGTTACATGCCGTAGAGATCTATTGGTCATATCCTCTTATATGGGCTAAAATCAAATAATGGTTGTACAATGGGTGTACTAGAGAACGGAGGGAGTGCCTCCTTTTATGATGTTTGATTTGAGGGTGTGAAATATGCAAATGACCCCTGGTGGTGAGGAGGTCACATTAGACGTGGTATGTGATTAAAAAGGGGGGAAAAGAAACAGTGGACTGTGTTGTATTTTTTTGGTTGTATAGAATTTATTTAATGTTTTAATAAAGTCTTCTTCACATTTTAGCAAACCGGGTTAAAAACAGCAGTAGAAAAAGCACAGTTTAACTTTTTTTTTATTGTATGTTTTATTGGGAGGTGTGTGTGTGTGTGTGTGTGTGTGTGTGTGTGTGTGTGTGTGTGTGTGTGTGTGTGTGTGTGTGTGTGTGTGTGTGTGTGTGTGTGTGTGTGTGTGTGTGTGTGTGTGTGTGTGTGTGTGTGTGTGTAACTGTGTAAAAATGCTTGTCCACGAAAGAGATGTCTGTGCAAGTGTGCCGAAAGCTGAAGATTAAAGCAAGGTCCAGATTTATCAGAGCTGATAGTAAATTTCAGATTTTTGCACATGCAATATCATTGGCATGACTGATGCGTGGAGTATGTCAAACATCTCAACCACTCATGAAGTTTCTTGCTTACTCAGGCAAACATTATCTGGAATAATATGTCATTGCTGAAATAATTCCATGATCACCTGATACAGATGCGAAAACCCATTGTTTGGAGATTTATTTATTTTGTTTTGCCTTTTACATGTCATTATAGTTTATGATTACTTGACTTCTGTAACATAGGATGTATTTGATAAAAACCCATAACTGTCTTAATGCATGCAGACAAAAGTAAATCAAATTAGACATGTTCTTCCGTTTTTACTCAATCTGAATGTAAATGTATAGGAAGAAAAATGCAATACTGTGAAATGAAATAAAAGTGTTTGTAAAAATGTGCTTCGTTTAAGAATTTATTTTATAGGTGTGTTTGACTGATGTGCAAAAGTTAAAGTCAATATGAAATAAAACTACTTTAATATAGCACATTCATGGTATTTTATGCAGCCACTTACTTTTTCCACTTGATGCCTCCTAAGCAGCTTTAACAGGGAAATTGATCTTAACCAATAGCCATATATCTATTTTGACATTTGTTTTAGGCTTTTAATGCTGCCTAATGTTCATTTAATAATGCCTAGGCAATAATAGCAAACTTACAGATTAAAAAATATTTTGTAAGTGTCCAGTGGATTGTGAATGGTGATTTATATTGACTGTAAATGCCTTTCTAAAGCGCTTGTAAGTAAAAAAATATACATGTTGAAGATTAAGTCATTGCATGGGGCCGAATGAATGAACTGTACAACAAATGAAAGTCTCTGTGGTAATACTTTAGCTCAGCTTTAGCTGTGATATTACACTGAGGATCTCTTTAAACCGTCAGCCTCAGGCCAGACCAGATGATCTGTCACAGCCTGCTGGTTGGTTGTCCAAACTTGTAGATCTTAGAAAAGTTTACCACGTAGAGTTTCTGTGATAGTTTCAACTACTTCCTCATCTGGTCCCTGTTGCTTTTTGTAACCTTTGTAAAATGTTAACTTTTCTTAGCTGATCTTTACTTTGGACTGTTTACTCACATGTTTCAGGTTTGTCCTACAGACGGAGCTCTATGCCTGTAGAGATGCATGTTAAAGCAGCATATGCATTATAATCTTAGGCTTCCTTCCAGGATATTACATCACTGAGTTTGACTGTTCTGCTCCCCTGAGACGGTGGTTGTGGTGAAGAGGTTTCACTGTTCACACTCATCGCTCTGGAATGTTGCATGGATTCTATTAGAATTCCTGGACAATGATGATGATGATGATGATGATGCCGAGGGTTCTAAAAAGGGTTCGGGAACCATGCTGTATTTGACCTGCAAAGATAACAAAGATAATCATTGGTTCATGTAGTGATTTTAGGCAGATTTGACGAATTCTTCAGAGTTTTTGTTCAAACCTTCTTAATTAGCATGTTGATGAACAAATATACATTCAGAAAAATATTTAAAAGAAGAAACAATTCCTGTGCAATGAAATTCCTTTCTTCCAAAACATGTATCTTTTATATCTACAAAAGAAAAATACTGAATTAGTTAACTTGGAAAAGTCTAACTTGTTTATTGTTTAATTAATGAATACAGTAACAAATTTGTTGTTTGAATATTTTATAAAAATGTGCAATAATAAAATAAACTGTGTTGGTGGTAAAGGTGCAATTTAAGGAATGTGTTTCTCTTTTTTGTTTTTTCTTGCATTTTTTTGTCAAGATTATTCTTGCATTTCACATGAAATAAATAATTTGTACCAGGGGCCTTTTGCATAAACATAGTTAAGACTGTGTCTTAAGAACTAGTCTGACTGTTAACTAGCAGTTAGTTAGGACTAATTACTCTTAATTTTCAGATTCATATTAGACCAATCTACCTTTTCATGTAACTGACTTAAAAACCTCATGATCAGTCTTAAAGAAAAACATAGATTGTAAGACTGTTTTAAGCATTTTATACAACCGGCCATATTAAATACATTTCATATATGATCTACCGAACGCTTCCTGTCATTGAAAAAAGTAATTACATTAATCTAAACTTGGTTTTTCATTTGTACAGTACAGTAGCTCAAGTACAGCTTTTCTTCATGTGGCCCCAAAGTGGGCGTGGCGTCTGGAGAAAGCTCCGCCCCCAGCCGTGTTGATTGACGCTCAACAGTGGCCCCTCCTTAAACTTTTTTTCCCTCCTTCGTTTTCCACTGAAGTGCGTGAATTTCATACCAAACCCATACTTCGCATTCCACCTTTACTGTCAAACCGGGAGAAATATTACTGAAAACAATAGAGCACCAAGATAAATATAACTTTAAAGACATAAACCTCGTCCTGTTCTTTCGGTAGAGGTGTTTCCTAATAAAGGTGAGTTTTAGATTCACTCGTTCCCTTTGTCTGATCGCGTTTTTCACTAGCGAAGTTTTCAGATCTTTGTCATATTTTGCATTTTTCCTCGGAACTCCCTGCGTTGGGTGGGATGAGGGACACAATTCCGTGTGGATATGCTGTAATTGTGCGTGTGTGAGAACGAGGAAGCCGTTTTAGTGTGGTAGCCGGGAACTTTTGCCTTAGAATTACACTTTTAAGTTAGAAACATTATTCCAACTAACATTCTTCCATTGTTGCACGTAGAAGTTGAGGCGAAAATGTCATGCTCGTCTGCACAGGCTCTTATTTACTCTGGTGGCAGGATTTTCCAAACACTTGTATTTGAAAATAAGCAACGAGGTTTTGTTGTTCCAGAAAATTGTCAGAGAGAAACGACAGAAGTGTTTGGAGAGATCGTTCGCCCTTTTTTCTGCGTTATCAGGTAAGTGTAACTGTTTGTTTCACTTGACAGGCTCAAGAAGTGTACTAAGATTTAATATTTAGTGATTTCTGTGAGGTTAACACTGATATATTTTGAAGAGTGGAGAAATATATGCATACTTCTGTCGTTATGTTATTTGTTTACAAGACTTTCTTGTAAATGACGTTTTATTTCATAACGTAAAATGAAAACAAATGACACTATTGGAAAGAAAAATATAATGTGGATTCAGTAAACTATTTAAATATTTTCATAATATATTGTTTTTAAATTGAACCTATTTTATAAAATATTTATTATGAAACTGTTTGATATGATAATGTCAACTGATTTCTGTGGAAACTGTCGTATTTGCCTTCAGGCACTTTTCATTATGGCAGCCAACTGGTTTATCAACACCGATTTATAGAATTTTCATATTTTTTGTATGGTATGGGGCTTGATGTCTTAATGTATGTAATATATTGTTTATGCTATAATTATAATTTTTTATAGTATTAAAAAAATACATTTTTGCCAATAGTAATAATTAAAAAAAACGATCAATTTACCTCAGGTAAAGCAGTGACGTTGAGTGATCTTCCCGCCCAAATAAAGTTTAAAGGTTTCGATATTAACCCTTCAATGGTTTTAAGAGATAATTTGGACTCTTTTTGGTGTCTGAAGCTGGCTTTGTGACATTTTTAAGAATATCTAAACAAAAAATAAAAGCAGTTTACAGTTTTATGTAAAAAAAATTTTTGTAAAAGTTGTTTTTAATAAAAATATACGTTTTTCATCTGTGGTCTTTATGGTCAAATTTGTCAAAGAACCAATCATGAGCCTTCAACATATAATAAAGCATATAGTTTCTGTAAAACTATGAAATACAAAAAAAAAAAAAAAACAATGTGACCCAAATCACTGGTTGATGAAGTTTTTTTGGGACAATTGGAGGGTTAATGAATTCTCATATTATTAATAACTTTTCCATCTCATCAGTGTATTAATTTGCATTTTACAGTTATTTTTTATTGGTGAGACCTAAGTATTTTCAGTTTTGTCCTCCTCGTAAATGTGTGAATTTGTTTTTAGTTCTCCCACACATATGCAAACTATGTGTAATGATGCTCTCCACATTTTGATTGTTCCTCCGACTTACTATTAATGGACAGGTTTCGTTAAACAGAAATGCCGCACTTCAGGTTCGACTTAGTCAGTTCAGCCCAAACTGCTTCTTCAAGTCCTGCTGCTTGGTTGTGTTGACTTCTGTTTTACCTCCTTTTAGAAAGGTTGGGCTTCTTAAAAAAAGGCTGAAATCCATCTAGATATAGGTCAAGTGGTGTTAAGTTTTGCTCAGAAGTGATTGTTGTTGTGTGACATTATTTTCTATGTTTGTATATTGTTTCTCTTTAAAGAGACTGTATGTACACCAGATCCTGTGGTGTTTTTTGTTCAGTCAACAGTTGAAGTAACTAAATGTGCTCCG